GCAGCGGGAGGCCTCATTAGCTAAAGTGGTGCTTCAGGTTAAGAATAGTTTCAGGTTAAGAACAGACCTCCAGAACGAATTAAGTACTTAACCTGAGGTACTACCTTACATTGGAGTCTGTAATATTTTGCAGCCTGTGTTCCATAGGGTGGGTGGAACTACCAAAAAGGCCTTCTGCCTGGTTCCCTGTAATTTCACTTCTTGCAGTGAGGGAACCACCAGAAGGCCCTCAGAGCCAGACTCAGTGTCCTGGCTGAATAATGGGATTGGAGACGCTCTTTCAGGTATACTGGGCCAAAGCTGTTTAGGGCTTTAAAGGTCAACACCAACACTTTGAATTGTGCTCAGAAAAGTATTGGGAGCCAATGTAGATATTCTAGGACCGGTGTGATGTGGTCCCAGCAGCTGCTCCCAGTCCCCAGTCTAGCAGCTGCATTCTGGATGAATTTTAGTTTCCAAGTCACCTTCAAAGATAGCACCACGTAGTGCCATTGCAGTAGTCCTATCAGAAGATAACCAGAGCATGTATCACTCTGGCAAGATGTGACTAGGAAGGTAGGATCTCAACTGGTGTACCAGATGGAGTAGGGAAACAGTTGCCCTGGGAACAAAGTTGACCTGTGTCTCCATGGACAACTGTGAGTCCAAAATCATCCCCAGACTGCACATCTGGTCATTTAGGGACAGAGTTATCCCATTCAAGACCAGGGAATCCTCCACACCCACCTGCCTCCTGTACCCCAGAAATGGTACTTCTGTCTTGTTGGGGTTCACTTTCAATCCATCAACCAACATGCACCCTCCAACCGCCTCCAGACACTTACACAGGACATGCACCACCATCACTGGTTCTGATTTAAACGAGAGAGAGAGAGAGTGAGTACATGCTTATGAGTATATGCTTATGAACACTCGGCCCAGACCCCCTGATGATCTCTCCCAACAGTTTCATATAGATGTTAAAAAGCATCACCTCTTCCACCCAAGTCAGTGTGAAAGTTTAGTTTGCAGCAAGCGTGGACAGCAGTTACTATACTAGCAGTTCCAAATTAATCTTCAAAAGAAGATTAATATGTGTAACCCTTGAGCTGCTTCCCAGCCATTCTCCACATCTTTTGAGAGAACATGGGTGAAACTGTAAGTGCATATAAATTATGTCAATTCCTGTGCCAAATATACTGTTTGGAATAATTCAGCGTGTTATTGTCTTGCTTGTCTGCACAAATTACAGATGCAAACTAAAAGGGGTCAGGACAGCAGGGCTATTGCTGCTACATATATTTAATGTCAGGAATACATGTTGAATAGTACTGAGCATGAAAGTGGTATAGCTCCTGTCCAGAGAGTTTACACTCCATGGTGGATGTACAAGTCAGAGATGGAGAAAGATGTTTGGGACTGGTAATGAAAATCCCTTACTAAACTAACCTCTGTCTCTTCCTAAACCAACAGCTGCTCCTTACTAAACAAACTAATACACACACACACACACACACACACACACACACACAAGGTACATGTTTAACAAATGTTATCTTCAGGGAGAATTCAGCATTCTTTTAACCCTCCCGCAAGTGACCATTCTCACCAACAAATCTGATGCAACAGAGAGACTGGCTTTCCTGTTTCCTTGAGCTACACTTCCCTTACCCCATGGCAGACAGGTTGAAACAGCTACCACCAGCAGGAGAACTGTGAGTTAAAGCTCAGATTGACCCCACTTTCCTGTTCTAAACTTAGGCTAGCTAAGTTTGGCACTAGCCCAGGCTATGCACACAAGGTCAGGACCATGGTCAGCTCACCATGAAGTTGGCAGGAAAGGACATCCAAGACCAAGACCAACAAGAATAGGAATGCATCTCCAGACAGCTTGGAGTCAACTGGGAGTTTTTGTGGAACGCCCTCCCATCAGATGTCAAGGAAATAAACATTTATCGGACTTTTAGAAGACATCTGAAGGCAGCCTTGTATAGGGAAGTTTTTAATCTTCGTTGTTTTACTGTGCTTTTATAAATTGTTGGAAGCCTCTCAGAGTGGCTGGGGCGGCATATAAATTATTATGATGATTACTAGTTATTTATTTATTTATTATACCCCGCCCATCTGGCTGGGTTTCCCCAGCCACTCTGGGTGAATTACAGCAAATATAAAAAATATAGTATTGGTGTCTGTAGATCCCTCCATTCTTAGAAAGGCTTTTGGGACTTGAAGGGGTGGTGTCCTCTTCCTTGACTGTTGGCTTCAGCATTCCTGGGGAGCAGTTTTCAGCAAGGCATTCCCCAGTGTACTTCCAAGAGTTCTGATGAGGAATCCTCAGAATTAGAGAAGGGGTTCAGAATGACGTCCCCATGCATAACTGATGAATGCAGCCCTGATTCTTGAGATTCTCCTACCATGGGAATCTCTGGCAAACATTTGAGGCACTCTCAGGGGGCTGTTCCTGCCCCCCTTGTCTTTCTTATCCTCTGTGTCATCCAACTCCTCTAATAGCAGGGAGCCCGTGTCCTGGGCCAGGACTCCAATTTAGGGAGATGGTGGGAGGAAAAGAGTGGGGTGGAGGTTGCTGAACTGTCTCCCTCCTTGCCCACCATCTCCTGATCTTGTGATCCCCTCGGTTGGATTCTTAAACTGGAATTGAGCATGACTGAGAAAAAAGTGCCTGGGAGGAAAAGGCTGGCGGGAGGTTCAGGGCGGGGCGGGGCGGGGCGGGGAGAGAGCTCCACGCTTCTCAACCACATACATACATACTTTCTGTGTGATTGGAGTGTGCTAATTTGAGCCTCGGTATCAACATATAAATAGCAAGCTCTCCAATAATGCCAGTCTTGTTTTAGTACAATTGCATGTCTCGATTCCTTACTATGCCATGAAGTCTGAATTTGCAGCGCAGTGTTGCACCCCTTCAGCGTTCCAGTTCTTTGATCCCCTTGCTTATTAAAAAATGCAAATCTAAATTGTATCTTATTAATGTGTTTCTTTGTGTTAAAGCTATGGGGGGTTAAAATCCCAGCTCTCCCAGTGCATTTGGATTTTTAATGTGCAAAGTGCAACGAGAGCTAGACTTTCTGCAGGCTGTATTTACTAATCAAGTGTTATGAAAAGTTTTTATTATGCTTCTACTTCTTGCTTTCACAGAACACATGGATATTAAAAGAGAAATGAACCTCATTGTTATACAAAAGCTGCATCTTGCCATAAGTAAGATGGAGTAGTTTTCTGAAATGTGATTAATAAATTGATAATGGGACAAGTAGAACACACACTTCTCTCTACCATGTTAATATGATTTTTTTTTAAAGGTGATGGTTGTGTGTGTGCTTTCCCATAAACTTAAGCTATGAGGAATATAAGTGCTGTGCAACAGCTTCGTCTTTGTCCAGCTCATATATAGCAGCTTTTAGTTGGAGTCGACTCCCTTTCTCTGTCTGGGGGAATCAGTGGGAGATTGAGCTTTTTAAATATACTGATGCAGTTAAGGCCATTAAGCTGCTCTTGACATTCTTGTATTACTCACCATGACTGCTGTAACTCTACCTACCTTTCTGGTCAGTAAAAGCTTTCTCTGCATGCTTAATGTTTCTTCCCTTATCTTTACAGATTATTTTCCAATCTTTTTTGTTTTTTATAAAAACTGTGCATTCACTTAAGCCATTGAGACTTGATGTGGATCATCCTGACTTAGGGTTTTATGGAAAAGAATCACAGAGCTTGTAGAACGGTGTGGTAAGCCTAAGGTCTCTTGCCTTTAGTATTGATGCTTTTTTAAGGTGTACTCTGCACACACACGTTTATTGCACCCCAAAGTGAGGTTTGTCTTCGAAGGAAACCTCCTTTCGACCTTTAATGAGTGCTAGGGTGTTGACAATTCTTTACACAAGAACTATACCTTGAATGATTAATTGTCAGGGTTTTTCTGCAAAAATCGGGAAGGATATATTCACATATGGTATCATTGCTGCCTTGATCCCAGAGAATAAGAAAAAAGTAAGGTAACAGGAAGCCTTCTGAACAGGGCGTAATCCAATAACACACATCCTTATGCTTGCTTCATCTCTCATGGAATGACTAAAACCAAAATCGGTATTGCATTGGTATTTATATTTGGACTATTACAATGGGTCTTGATTGGCTTCAGTTCTTGGATGTACAGGCTTCTGCTTCTGTAGTGAACAGCAGCTTACTTTCCAGAGCAAACATACATAAAGTAAATCTTGGTCCAATCCACTTTGAAGACCCTTTGATTTGTGAAAACATTGCTGTACTTCTTCTTCTTGTTGTTGTTTGGCAAACACACCTCTCGTGATTATAATGTGTGAGATACAATGCTGTATCTCCCTTGTTTATAACGCCATGTTACATTCTCCCACAAAGTGCACTTAAAAGTGGGGAGGTCTTAAGTTGCATGTACTATATCATCTTCCTTTGTCAGTAAACCCTGCAGCTAACATCTCTGAAATCAACTTTACTTGAATGAGCAATGAGTGGTGCTTAGAGGGGGCCCTGGTAGAGGATGGGCTTCCCCTCTCCACATCCGACAATGGCCACTTTCAACAATCCATCCTTGGTTGCTTAATGAGGACCAGGGTTCCCAGGAACAGGAAATGTGGCACGGGGAGGAGGATGTGCAGTTTTGATTAGAATTGCATTAGGGGTGCACTGCCTGACCCCTCTGTTGCATAACTAGGTCTGTTCCTACCACCCTCCTCATATGGTAACTTCTTAATTGGGGAGCTTGTGATTCAGAACCCAGCTCAGTCAGGGCTCTAAATTGTGCGAGGAGTCAATGTGACTTCTGCATATGGAGGGCAGTGGGGATGGGCACAACAATGTGATGGAGGGGCTGAGACCAACCAGCATGTTTCCACTCGTCGTAATAATATAGGAATATAGGAAACTGCCTTATCCTGAATCAGACCATTGATCCGCCTAGCTGAATATTGTCTACACTGACTGGCTGTGGCTTTCCAGAGTCTGGGGCAGGAGTCTCTCCCATTCCAACCTGGAGATGCGAGGGATTGAACTTGGGTCCTTCTGCATGCAAGGCAGATGCTCTAACACTGAGCTATAGCCCTTGAGGAAAACCTAATGTGTGGATATTACTCTTGTTCCATTCACTTATTTTGCTCTTTCTCCTACTCGCCCTCCCTCTGATATCGGTTGTTAGCCATCTCTTCCTCTTGACATTTTTTTCTGCTGCTTCTACGTTTATACTCAAATGTCTTGTTACCCTTCACCTCAGATTTTCTTCTCATTTCATTTTCTTCTGTTGATAAATCTCTTTTTAACTCTCCATTTCTTCCATTCTCTCTCTTTACCTATCTTGCATTTTTGTATTTTAGAGCAAGCCACAGTTTTGTTTTCCTCATCAATTGTAATGTGCCTTGGTTTGGATGTCATATATGTACATGGCCTCAGGATGAAGTGTGGGGTGTAAACATTAAACAAACATACATACAGTTACGGTACTTAAACATCTCTGCTCCATTGATGGAAGGAAGCTCTCTCAGCTATTGTGGTTGGTCTCTATCCAGTTTACCACCTTTGTCCAGAGATGCATGGTGGACCACAGGCTACAGCCTTTCCTGACATCCCTTAGGTCATTAGATCAAGACCATCTGCTGATAACCTTTCGTGAGCTTTGTAAGTAATCATCTTCATTTGCACAACACTTAAATGAAAATGGCTGAAATCCTGTCTTTGCATCTGCTGGAATGAGAACTGCTGCATTGTGATCCTTATATGTTCCAATTCAGTATTCTGCTTAATAAAACCAGGAGCTGCATAGTCAGCCTGAGATGTGGAAATGTATTGCACTTCAATTTTAACTGTTTCTTCCAAGCTGACTGCTCCCATGCTTTGAAGGTTATCTTCGCACCTACAAAGTCTTGAAACGTCTTTCTCACACTTTTCCTTCTTACTAAAGGGAGATACTTTCAGAATCATGACAGGAAACAAAAAATGCCTCCAGGCCCATGTGCAGCCTTTGGGCTGCATGTGGCTTGTTCCAGAGGCATTCGAGTGGGAGAAGTGTGGCAACGCAGAGTGTCAGTACCATGACAATTCCCTGAATACTTCAGGAGAAATAGAGAAGGCTGCTTATTTACAGGCAGACCTCACTGTGTGGCAACAATAGTATTATTGTACTTCTGTACAGCATAGCAGTTTTGTCAAAGGTGATGATTCGTGACCACTAAAAATGTCCATGTTTTAAAAGGCCACTCCATTACCTTGATCTGAGTTCACGTCAAGGACATGAGGGTGCAATAGGTCACCGGAGATAAGAATAAGACTTAGAAACCTGTGGTCCCCATTATAGACCGATCTAGATTAATCACATGGCTCCAGCTGCCACACACATTAACATTACAAAATAAAACCCAGTTTAACAGCCTAATTAATCTGGTCATTTTGGTAGCTATTCTTCACCAGGAAATCACTGAATGGCCATTCCCTCCAAACAAATAGTTCTCTCTGTGCCCTTTTGTAATGCCCTTTTATTTGACAGCACCCAAAGGTTTGAGTATGGGCCTCCTAATATGGAAAAAATATTCTTTGCCACCACCTTCCCTGAGAGAAAAAGAAAATGGTCATTGTTCATTTGTATGTGCCGTGTGTGTATACAGATTTAAAATTGCCCTGGTCAATGGGCAATTTCCAATGAACTACTTCTGCTAGTACAAAGATTTGTGATGTAGCATGTGAAGCAAACCCTCTGAGGATCCAGCTACAGCCCCCCAGCAGTGATTTCTCTCATCTCCTAAAAATATACTGCCACAATTTAAGGAGCCACCACTGAGAAAGTTACTTGTATAGTTTTGGCGGGCTTAGCCCACATGTTGCCCTTTTCCATGTGAATGTGTCATTAGGGACAGCCAGGGTGCATCGTATGGAACATTTTCCCAAATGTCTATAGAAAAATTCAGCTATTCAGTGCTTTAGTGCACTTTTTTCACCTATGTAATAGATAGGAGACATAAAATCATTATATGTCACCTATTAAAGACAGAATGTCTGGAAGGTCAAAGTGACCCAATCATAGCATTTCTGCGAGCCCTGTGTGATGTTTCATGAGTTCGCGGGGCAGAGAAATGTGACATGGAATTGCCCTTGGTTCCCCAGGTGACCTCCAGAGTTCACGGACCTCACTACAGTCTATACATTCTTCCTCAGTAGGCAGTTATGTACAAACTGGCTCCCAGTGTGAAGCTTGCAGAGAGATACAGTGGGGAGAATGGAGGATTGTGTCAGGCCAGATCTGTCCATATTTCAGCATAATTCAACCCTGGTGCTCCCATACAGTGGTACCTCGCAAGACGAATGCCTCGCAAGATGGAAAACTCGCAAAATGAAAGGGTTTTTGGTTTTTTGAGTTGCTTCGCAAGACGATTTTCCCTATGGGCTTGCTTCGCAAGACGGAAACGTCTTGCAAGTTTGTTTCCTTTTTCTTAAAACCATTAATACAGTTGCGACTTGACTTCGAGGAGCAACTCATAGCACGCGGTGTGGTAGCCTTTTTTGAGGTTTTTGAAGACTTTGGTGATTTTTGAAGCTTTTCCAAAACTTTTCCGACACCGTGCTTCGCAAGACGAAAAAAACCGCAAGACGAAAAAAACTCGTGGAACAAATTAATTTCGTCTTGCGAGGCACCACTGTATTTAGGTCAGACATGGACCTGTTCTGAACTTTTATTTGGTTTGCCTTCAGATCTGGTATGAAGGAAAGAGCAAATTGTTTGCATTGGCAGTGCTAGGGTCTAAAATTACTAAATCATTTCTTTTCTTTGGATAGAGAACTTTCCAAATTTTTTTTAATAATAATACCATTCTCTAAAGCAAAGTGGAATGGTTCAGGTTTTGTTCCCTATCCAGATGGTGGTGCACTAGGGTATAGGAATGGGGAACATGTGGTCCTCCACATGCTCTTGGACTACAACTCCTGACTGGGGTAATAGGAGTTAGAATCTCACAGCATCTGAAGGTCTACAGGTTTCCCATTCCTGATACAGATAATTCACTATTCTTATTGTGAAATATGTTTCAGAAATTCCCAGCAAGAGATCTTCTACCTTGTTTTTGCAAGCTACTTTGTGCCTTGGACTCTCTACTGCAGTTGTGCAGGAAAGGCTTGCACAATCAGACCTTTAATGTTCATTTCATTACAACTTAGCTGTGAAAATGGGTGTTTATCATGGAGTAGATTGGTGGCAATGATCTGGCTTCCAGTATTCATTAATACTTGCACATCCAACACTTCTTTCCCATATTTAAGAGCAATTTTATTTCATTTTCATCAGCTTCTGCAGCCACTATGGCTCTAAAAAGATATGAAATGCTGTCATCAGGTAAAGCATTACAGTTATTAACATGTCAAAAGTATAAGCAAGTCGGAGTGTATGTTTTATGTCATTTGTTCTTCGGCTCCACTAGGCAAGAAGACATGAATTGCAGCCAGTCATTTTATGCAATTGACAAATAAGTCCAAGTTTTGCTTTCATCTGCTTTACTATTAGTTGTCGTTCTCTTGTAAAGGGATGAATGGATGCACCCCATTTGGCTTAAAGCAGCAGATCTATATACAGTTAATTTGTGGATAAATATGGGTTTCTACTATTGATGTTTCTCAGTTCCCCACAAAGTGGTTATATTAATACGGAAACGTTATTAATCAATAAGTAGCTCTTTAAAAATACATCAGTAAGACTAGCCAATTGCCTTTAAGTACATATCAAAGGCCACAGAGCAATTTGATGTACACTCATGGTCCATTAGAGAATATCAGGCATTTTAATTATAATTTTTTTAAAAGCTGCAATGAGCCTAACAAAGCAATTTAAAATTCCTTCTTTGGGCATGAAGAATTTGCAAGCCTGGTTGCCTCTCAAACCAAGACCCGGTTCTGAAAACCATTTAGCCACATGATCACCCCTGTCTCATTTTCCTGAATAAAGGATATACACATTTAGATTATCGAGATAAAGGGCCAGACCCAAGCAATAAAGCTAGAATAGCTCCGCTGAAGCTTACAGAGATGCTTTGCTTTCATGGCCCTATAATTGACTCCCAATAGTTTCAGAAGAGTTATTCTATATTCACACCACTATAGCAAGACAGAATGTGGTCTATCTTGTATGTACAAAGGCTGCCTTAATTTTGACAGGTATTTGGCTGCAATCAACAAACCACTTATTTTGAAGCAATCTCGGTTACTTTAATAGCTTACTCTGGAGTAAGTGGTGTGTGGATTGCAGCTTTTAAGTTACAGAAGTTAAGAGTACATTTGGTTGTTATTTGGCAGGCCTCTATTCATATATGGTATTGATGGAAATGATATTGTGATTGTCCAGAAAGAGCAAGCGTTAGGAAGAAGCAGTGATTACTGGGCACAAAAGGGGAGAGTAATAGGTGGGCCTCTATATATAGAATGTTGTACAAGCAGAGCAGGTGACAAAACTACAGTTACTAGACATGTACTTTACAACCCAATCTTATAGCCTATATCCCGGTTTTGTCTTTATACACCATTTATCCAGCCTTCCCCAAAATAGCAATACACACGCACAGCCCAGTAGAAATGCAATGCACAGGGTTGGCACAATACATTTTGCTGCCCGAGGGAAAAGACAAGATGCCATTTCCTCCTATTTCATATTCAGATGCTGACTGGACTGGTAGTTGAATATTTTTCCAACAATTGGCAGTGGGGTAGCATTCCCCACTTCAACAGAGGACAACAGGCTAAGTGGTTACACCTACAGCTCTGATCCCCAACTTAGAGGATTGGCTTGGAGCAATAACTGAGGGTGCTGCCAGTGCTGCCATCCTCCCCCCGGCCTGTATATGAGATAATTCGGCATACTCTGCCTAATAATATGGTTGACCCTGGTAATGCATTTAAATGGCAATGGCTTCTTTCCTATTTGTGAAGCCTAAAATGGCAGGTCTTGCGAGAAGGGCAGAAGAGCAACACACATCAGATTTTAAACCTTGGTCAAATTCATCCCTTAGAGATCGCCGGCAGACAATTGTCCCTTTCTGTTTTGAACACTTAAGGTATGCTAGCTTAAGACGAGAT